CTGAATTTTTTGTTGTTGTGTCAACTGCAAGTCGCTTCTGGTGTGAGAGAATTGGCTGTCTGCAAGGACGTTGCCCAGGGGATGATTTGATGTATTATCACCCTTGTGGGAGGCTTCTCTCATGTCACCGCATGAGGAGCTGGAGCTGATAGAGGGAGCTCATCTGCCTCTCCCCAGATTCGAAACTGCAACCTCTCGGTATTAACCCACTGCGCCACCGGGGGCTCCTATTTCCTGAATGGGAAACTAGCTTTTGAGCAAGCTGAGTTGCTTTATGGTCATGTTCCAGAAGCATTCTCTCCTGACATTTCATCCACATCTATGGCAGCCATCCTCAGAGGTTTAGGGATTTGTTGGAAACTAGTCAAGTGAGGTTTATATATCTGTGGAATAATGTTCAGGGTGGGAGAAAGAGTTCTAGTCCGCTTGAGGCAAGTGTGAATGTTGCAAATGACCACCTTGATTAGCATTGAATGGCATTGCAGCTTCAAAGCCTGATTGGTTGCTGCCTGAGGGAATCCTTTGTTGGGAGGTGTTAACAATAATAAATAATAAACTTTATTTCTACCCTGCCACCATCTCCCCAATGGGGACTAGGAGCGGCTAACATGGGGCCAAGCCCGGACAACATAATACAGCATTTTTTTTTTGTCATGTCCGGAGCAACTTGAGAAACTGCAAGTCGCCTCTGGTATGAGAGAATTGGCCGTCTGTAAGGACGTTGCCCAGGGGACACCTGGATGATTTGATGTATTATCATCCTCGTGGGAGGCTTCTCTCATGTCACCGCATGAGGAGCTGGAGCTGATAGAGGGAGCTCATCCGCCTCTCCCCGGATTCGAACCTGCGACCTTCCGGTCTTCAGTCCTGCCGGCACAGGGGTTTAACCCACTGCGCCACCATGGGCTCCTATTTACTCAATGGGAAACTAGCTTTTGAGTAAGCTGAGTTACTGTATGGCCATGTTCCAGAAGCATTCTCTCCTGACATTTCACCCACATCTATGGCAGCTATCCTCAGAGGTTTAGGGATCTGTTGGAAACCAGGTTTATATATCTGTGAAATAATGTTCAGGGTAGGAGTCCCCGATGACGCAGTGGGTTAAACCCCTGTGCTGGCAGGACTGAAGACCAACAGGTCTCAGGTTCGAATTCGGGGAGAGGCGGATGAGTTCCCTCTGTCAGCTCCAGCTCCTCATGTGGGGACATGAGAGAAGCCTCCCACAAGGATGATAAAAACATCAAATCATCCGGGTGTCCCCTGGGCAACGTCCTTGCAGACAGCCAATTCTCTCACACCAGGAGCGACTTGCAGTTTCTCAAGTCGCTCCTGACACGACAAAAAAAAAAAAATGTTCAGGGTGGGAGAAAAAACTCTAGTCCGCTTGAGGCAAGTGTGAATGTTGCAAATGACCACCTTGGTTAGCATTGAATGTCATTGCAGCTTCAAAGCCTGATAGGTTGCTGCCTGAGGGAATCCTTTGTTGGGAGGTGTTAATAATAATAAATAATAAACTTTATTTCTACCCCGCCACCATCTCCCTGATGGGGACTCGGAGCAGCTTACATAGGGCCGGACAACATAATACAGCAATGAAATCAAAGCATATACAACAGACAACAACAACATTATCATCGAAGGCTTTCATGGCTGGAATCACTGGGTTGTTGTAGGTTTTTTCGGGCTATATGGCCATGTTCTAGAGGCATTTTCTCCTGACGTTTCGCCTGCATCTATGGCAAGCATCCTCAGAGGTAGTGAGGTCTGTTGGAACTAGGAAAAAGGGGTTTATATATCTTATATAACAACATTATCAAAATCACATTAAAAATAATATAATAATAATAATAATAATAATAATAATAATAATAATATAAACATTCCAATAGACACAATCACAATAGAGATGACAATGGGCGGGCCACATATTCCGAATAAAAACAATTAACAAACTATGATGAGATAAAATAGGAGCAGGACGTTAAATGAGGTTCAGAATTCCAGATATTTACTTTGTACTTAGATTTAATAATAATAATAATTATTAAATCTATCATAGGTAGACAGGAAAGTTATTATAATGGGGAAAAGGGATCTCCACAGAAGCTTTTCCACAAATCTTTGGTTCCACAATGAGCCAAATTTCTCAAAATTCAATGATCACAGGGACCGAAATAGAAGTAAGCTCTTCTGAACAGGGGCACAGACAGCAAAGGTTTAGCAGTGAATGGTGTTGCAGATTCAAAGCCTGACTGGTTGCTGCCTGAGGGAATCCTTTGTTGGGAGGTGTTAACTGGACCTGATGATGATGATGATGATGATTATTATTATTATTAAATCTATCATAGGCAGGAAAATTATTATAATGGAGAAAAGGGATCTCCACGGAAGCTTTTCCACAAATCTTTGGTTCCACAACAAGCCAAATTTCTCAAAAGGTGTCTGTAACTCAGCCATTCACATGGACTGTTTTGGATTTTGGAGCATTTCAGAATTCCAGATATTTACTTTGTATTTAAAAATACGTGTGCTTGGTGGGTTTCCACTCCCCCTGAAGACACAGATCCACAGTCTGGGGGTCTTTCTGGACTCAGCACTGATGCTCGATGCTCAGATGTTGGCGGTGGCTGAGAGGGCCTTTGCACAGTTATAACTTGTGCGCCAGGTGCAACCATACCTCGAAAAGTCTGACTTGACGATGGTGGTCCATGCCTTGGTTACCTCTAGGTTGGATTACTGTAATGCACTCTACATGGGGCTGCCTTTGAAGATGGCCCGGAAACTGTAGTTGGTGCAAAGGTTGGTGGCCAGGTTGTTAACAGGAGCAAATTACAGGGAGCGGTCAACCCCACCTGTTCATACAGCTCCACTGGCTGCCGATAAGTTTCCGGTCCCAGTTCAAGGTGCAAGTTATCTATATATATAAAAATGCTCTATGCGTAATGAGTACCTTAAAAACAAAAGAACCAATGAACGAAATCACACCAAATTTGGCAACAAAACGTCTCACAACACAAGGAGTGACCATCATACAAAAATTACGATTTTGTCATTTGGGAGTTGTACTTGCTGGGATTTATAGTTCACCTACAATCAAAGAGCATTCTGAACTCCATCAACGATGGAATTGAACCAAACTTGGCACACAGAACTCCCATGACCAACAGAAAATACTGGAAGGGTTTGATGGGCATTGCCCTTGAGTTTGGGAGTTGTGTGCCAAGTTTGGTCCAGATACATTATTGTGTAAACAATAATGTATCTGGACCAAACTTGGCACAAGCACTAAATACACCCAAGTATGAACACAGATGGAGTTTGGGGAAAATAGACCTGGACATTTGGGAGTTGTAGTCACTGGGATCCGCAGTTCACCTACAATCAAAGAGCATTCTGAACCCCACGAATGACGGAATCGGGGCAAACTTCCCCCACAGAACCCCCATGACCATCAGAAAATACTTAAGGCCATCCACTCGTCAGGGCAAGAAAACATAATCAAAGTCCTCCTGACAAAGAGCCATCCAGCCATAGATAGATTAGATAGATAGATAGATAGATAGATAGATAGATAGATAGATAGAGAGAGAGAGAGATAAATAGATACATAGGGAGTTGTAGTTGCTGGGACTTATAATTCACCTACAATCAAATAGCATGTTAGAATTGAATCAACCGGGGCATACAGGACTCCCATTACCAACAGAAAACACTAGAAGGGTTTGGTGAGCATTGACCTTGATGTATTGTCGAAGGCTTTCATGGCTGGAATCACTAGGTTCTTGTAGGTTTTTTCGGGCTATAGGGCCATGTTCTAGAGGCATTTCTCCTGACGTTTCGCCTGCATCTATGGCAAGCATCCTCAGAGGTAGTGAGGTCTGTTGGAATAGGAAAATGGGTTTATATATCTGTGGAATGGCTGGGGTGGGCAAAGAGCTCTCTGCTGAAGCTAGGTGTGAATGTTTCAGCTGACCACCTTCATTAGCATTTGAAGGCCTGGCTGAGCTTGGGAAAATGTTCTGTTGAGAGGTGTTAAGATGTGCCTGGTTGTTTCCTCTCTGCTGTTTTGCTGTTGTAATTTTAGAGTTTTTTTAAATACTGGTAGCCAGATTTTGTTTATTTTCATGGTCTCTTCCTTTCTGTTGAAATTGTCCACATGCTTGTGGATTTCAATGGCTTCTCTGTGTAGTCTGACATGGTGGTTGTGTGGATTTCTTGTTCTCTGTGTAGTCTGACACAGCATATTATTTGAGAACACAGAAATGCTGGACCACTCCAACAACCACCATGTCAGACTACACAGAGAAGCCATTGAAATCCACAAGCATGTGGACAATTTCAACAGAAAGTAGGAGACCATGAAAATGAACAAAATCTGGCTACCAGTATTAAAAAACTCTAAAATTACAACAGCAAAACAGCAGAGAGGAAACAACCAGGCACATCTTAACACCTCTCAACAGAACATTTCCCAGGCTCAGCCAGGCCTTCAAATGCTAATGAAGGTGGTCAGCTGAAACATTCACACCTAGCTCCAGCAGAGAAGAGCTCTTTGCCCCACCCCAGTCATTCCACAGATATAAAGACATTACATATATTAGAAACCTACACTTTCTCATTACTTTATTTTCCAGATCAACAGACTGGGCCACAGCAACGCGTGGCAGGGGACAGCTAGTCCCTAATATTGCCATTTGACTTACGCACTTTATCCATCAGCCCTATTCTCACAATTGATTTGCACTAGTCTACCCACCCGTACCCAGAAATGGATGACTATTGCAGGTTTCATGGTTGCTCTTATATGGTGTTATAATGTTATTTTATTCTTTTATGTTCTTGTCTGTGTATTTTAATGTGTTATTTTAACTATGTGTGATCAGGTTTGTCCTCATTTAAGCTGCCCCGAGTCCCTCCGGAGGAGGGGTACAAAAATAAAGTTGTTGTTGTTGTTGTTGATTTTAGTTCAAAACATTTACAGTGCTTTCTCATTCTTCTAGTCACAAATTGAGTTGTTTGTGAACCGCTTGGACTCAGTTGAATCAGTTCTGCCATATGAATATGACGCGTAAGTATATCACTTTATTCCAGTCTTCTTGTTTTGTATTAAAATATTTTCTTAAGCCAAGTGATGTTCAATTTGCAATGCCCAAAATGCTTGATAACAGAAAGGCTTATAGATATGCATCTATATCTGGATCATGCATAATTGTTTGTATTGAAAACTGTGGAGAATGCCAGCAGGATTTACTGTTGAGTAATGCCATACACCAGAGCAGGAACACCTCTGACCCTAAACACCACAGCAGCTTGGTAAAATCAGCAAGCAGTTTATTGAAGAATATATGTAAGAAAAGCAGTAAAAAGTAGCAAAACAGTAAAAATCCCAAAAATGAAAAGTTTAAAAAGCAAGTAGTGTTCCAAAGATCAATAAAACATAGCACTGTAAAGCAGAATTCCAAATGGCACCAACAAAACAAAGTCCCATGAGAACATTACAAAATCCCAAGACCATGGACACAGGAAAACGAGCACAAGCTGCTTGGTTGAGCGAGAAGTTTCTCTGACAAAGATTTGTTTTCAAACACACTGCTTAATACCCTTTGCAATACATGAAAGCATTTTTTTGGCCTCTGATCTCCTTCTTGTTGGCTATTCTCACACTCCTTCAAACTCTGAACTCCAAACGGTCAGCCCGATCTAAGATTCCCGTTTCATCAAGGTCAGGCTGCTCATTAGTGTCAGCTGTTGCAACCCAGAGCAGGAAACTGGACCCTTAGACAACCCTCCACCACACTTGACTTCAGGAAAACAATCCTTTTTTATTGATGAAAGATGAATACAAAATAGAGGAAAAATGCAAAGGTAAAAAGTCACAGTAAAAGTCAGCAACAAGAAATGTCCATAAACAAGATCATAAACCCACAGCAAAACTGCTGAATCCTGGAACCTGTTAGCAATCCACTAACCGTACTTGGAACAACTAGAAAACCTCCGAGGAACAAGGCCACTTGAATCAGGAGACCTGCAAAAGCTTGCACATGAATCTGGAACAATGCCTGGTCTGAAGCTGCATTCAGGCCAGGCATACTTAAGGCCGAGAAATCTATTGCGAGACATGCCTGATGTTTTTGTTTGCATTTTTCTCAATCTGGCTGACCTACGTAAACTTTGTGTTTCTCCCCGGCTCTGCCAAATCTGCCCCCGCCTATCCTCATTAGGCAGACCAGGTGTCAGATTCTCGGGAGAACTAAGGCTGGGAGGAAAATTTATTTATTTATTTATTTATTTATTTACTTTGCTTATATACCGCTGTTCTCAGCCCGGGCGACTCACAGCGCCCCCGGGCTGAGAACAACATAGAAGAACAAGGTTCAAAATTCAAGACACATTCTAAAATATCAATCTAGCAATAACCAAAAACATCATCATCAAAAACACCAACAATATCAATAATACAAAAAGCCATTCACGTCGTCTCATCGTTTAAACCACAATCCAGTATCATCTTCCGTTGTTCCATTCCTGTCGTCATTACCAATTATTGCACTTCTTGTTCGAACGCCTTCTTGAACAGCCAAGGGAGTGAAAAGGGAGTGAAACTTCTCCGCTCGGCTCAGAATGCATGTTCTCATGGGAATTTTGACTTTCAGTTTCCAAGGCTGTAGGATTGGTCTCAGAATTCACATTGACATCTACATTGGCATCAGGGAATACAATCAGAGAATCAGGTTCAGGTTCACACACAGGCTGAACCCCAACATCAGCCTGGTTGCCTTCCTGCATACTATCAGGCTGAGAACTGTCCTCCTTTTCTAAGTCAATTGGCACCTGGCTAGTTTCAGTATCAAAAACATCATTCCCTGCTGTGGGAAACTGAACTTGCACACCCTGTTCCTCATTGTCTACAACAGGAACATTTTGAACCTGATTGTGAACCTGAATCCCATCATTCTCGTCAGAGTCACTCTGAGACCCCATCTGAGTCACAACACTATCAGTCTGTGTCTGTGGTTCCAGCTGAGTCACAACAGGCACGTGAAAGCATGAAACAAAACAGCAGGAAAATCCCATAGGCAAAACTTACACTTAGCAAAAAACTTGGTGCATGAAACTTAGAGCACTTGAAACCGAGACCATGATAAATAGCGACATTGACTCGACTGAGGCAGTTCACTCTCATGAATAATTATATACCTTTTCTAGAACCCCAAACTGACAAGAAAGCATTCTTTTTGACTTTCCCACTAGATAACTGTTTGTTATCTTTTTTCCTGCTGCAGACTGTAGTGAAATTGCTACTCTATGTTAAAGATTTGGTGTATAGCTCTATGTTTACATATGGCAGATAAGGAAGAATAGGCACAGGCAGGGTAACAACAGCAGAGATAGGATTCATTTGAATATGTGAAGCCGATTGGTCATATGCAGATTAGTGTAGACCCAGGATTTGAGAAGGCTGCTAGGCCAAAATGACAGTTGGGGAGAGCAGAGCTGAAC